AAGGATTACATAAATGCGATAATCCTGTTTTCCCCCGAGCACCTCAGAAGGTCGAGGCCTTTTGTAAGTCTCAGTCATCTTGACCTTCTACATTATAAAATCCAGAACAGACTCTCCAATATTTTAGTTAAAGTACTAACTGCATATCGATCTATTACTAATAATAATTAAGAAAGCCTTTGTTTACATCCTAGTAAATATGAACTTCATTTGTTCCCACTGTTAAGAGCCTATAGATAAACAAGTGTTTTCTTCTACTATTACGGAAGTGAAGGAAAACGTACAAGGACGATGAATAGTGATATTAATAGTAATAGTAGAATTGGTACACCTACTACCTAGAGGGCAGTTCAAGAATCAAATGGTTAAGTCAGTAATGGTAAACCAGGATTCTATTGGATCTAATATTGGGGATACGAAGAAACGAATAACCAAAATTTCACAATATGCACCGTATACCGTCAAAACTCTTTGTCAAATATGTTTCGAATTCCGTTTCGAAACACCGAATTAATGTAAACCTTATGTTGGTGCGTTTCGAATCTTCATTCAGGACGAGACTTTAGTATGTAACAGTATATTAATACACACGCATACACACACACACATACACACACACACACACACACACACACACACACACACACACACACACACACACACACACACACACACACACACACGCACACACACACACACACACACACACACAAACTCAAACACACACAAACAAACAAACAAACAAAAAATAAGCTATGATTTTAGAAAATTAACATGAACACAAATCAACAACGGCCACTGAGAATACTGATCTCCATTCACATCAACAGAAAGGAGAAAACACTTTTTACAGGCTCACTAACATACACATTTTCACCGCCAGAAAATCGCTCAATGAAAGTCACAAAGAAGCTATCGAAAAACCGAACCTTAAAGTTAGAATTAAATTAAACGTAGACCTAAAGATGTAATGTACTTTTTATTAAGGTTTAAGGACTTCTGTAGGAACTGAGCAGTAGGGAAGGAATCACGAATATCGTTTTATGAGGGACATATATTCCGTAAAATATGTATCAATGTAGTATATTAAATTTGTTACTGTAGTGTCTCACGTCAATAGCCTAGATCTAACAAGATTGAAAGTTTGAAGTACTAAGGATTCTGAATAGAAAAGACGATATTGCTGCTATTACGCTGCTACAATTACTTCTACAACTACAATTACAGTTACAATTACTACTACTATTACTACTATTAAAACTACTACTACCATTACTACTAGTAAAACTACTACTACCATTACTTTACTAAAACTACTACTACTGGTACTACTACTAAAATTACTATTATTACTACTAATACTACGACTAATGATATAATAATAACAATAATAATGAGAAGAAATAACAATAACAATATTGATCATCGGTGATAACAACGATAATGAAAAACTAACATCACAAGGGAAAATATGAAATTAAAATGATTAAAGAAAACAAAAGAAAACTTAAAATTCTTAAAAAAAAAAAAAATACATTTATCGTCTGCAATAATTATGCAACATTCGGAAACGTTCATGCATAGCAGGCCTGGGGATTGCACGCGCTTGCACTCTCATTATTCCCCTTTCAGTCTTTGCAAACGTTCATTAAGTCTCATTTTGCACAACGGAAGACCAACATTCGCCAAAGCTAAAGAAAAAAAAAATGCTATTCCCTTCATCTCGCTTTCGCTTTGCCAGGGTTATTGTGTCGTATTTGCGAGCGAAGATCAAGGCCTGGTTGCGAAGAAGCCAGTGGGAGACAGACGAACTTAAAAAGCTTCTTTCTTGTGGCGCGAGAGAGAGAGGATGAGGGAGAGAGAGAGAGAGAGAGAGAGAGAGAGAGAGAGAGAGAGAGAGAGAGAGAGAGAGAGAGAGAGGATGAGGGAGAGAGAGAGAGAGAGAGAGAGAGAGAGAGAGGATGAGGGAGAGAGAGAGAGAGAGAGAGAGAGAGAGAGGATGAGGGAGAGAGAGAGAGAGAGAGAGAGAGAGAGAGAGGATGAGGGAGAGAGAGAGAGAGAGAGAGAGAGGGAGGGAGAGAGAGAGAGAGAGAGAGAGAGAGAGAAAGAGAGGATAAGAGAGAGAGAGCGAGAGAGAGACAGAATAAGGGAGAGAGAGAGAGAGAGAAAGGAGAGAGAGAGAGAGAGAGAGAGAGAGAGAGAGAGAGAGAGAGAGAGAGACAGACAGACAGAGAAAGAGACAGAGAGTCAGAGACAGAGACAGAGGAAGAGACAGAGAGTCAGAGACAGAGACAGAGGAAGAGAGAGAGCAAATATCTTCAACTTCTTTCTTTTTTATCTCTTTTCTACGTTGATTCCCTTATTCACCATTCCTCTTTTGTTCTCCTTCTTCTGCTTCTTTTCAGTTTATTTTTTAACGTTTCTGTTTTACGAAATAATTTGACAAGGGAAGCGAACAAACGTCTTCCAATTTCGTGTCTATCTCTTCTTCTTCCTTTTTCCCTCATTTTATCGTCGTAGTTCTGTGTACCTGTTTTGACAGTGAGATGGAGTTAATGTCTTCCACTTCCTTTTTTATCTCTTTCTTTGACTTTCCCCTCCTTTCCCTGTCCCTTTTTATCGTAGCAGTTTTGTGTAAATGTTTTGACAGCGAGAGAGAGCTTAATGTCTTCCGGTATTTTTTTTTCCTTTTTTTATTTGATTCTTGTATGTGTGTGTGTGTGTGTGTGTGTGTGTGTGTGTGTGTGTGTGTGTGTGTGTGTGTGTGTGTGTGTGTGTGTGTATGTGTGTGTGTGTGTGTGTGTCTTTGGGTGTGTGTGTGTGTGTGTGTGTGTGGATCTGTTTCTCCGTAAATATGTGTATGTGCGCGTGCGTGTGAGTGTATGTATACGTGTACGTATGCGTACGTGTATACATGTGTCGATCTATTTCCCCGTACGTGTACGTCTGCCCCCCTTTTTTTACACAGACGCAGTTCTGCATAACTGTTTTGACAGGGAGAGTGGGAGAAAAAGAAAAAAATGCAGCAAAACACTAAGATCCCGACATCAGAGAGACAGCGAATCTGCGACAATAACAGAAAGACCTTATTTTCCAAGGTAATCAAAGAATCACGGGTGCAGAAGGGGAGGCTATGATTGAACTTATAACCTTTGAGAGGGTTCCTTTCGCTCTAATATTGATCTCAATTCAATAATACCGTCGAATTCATGAGGTGATTGGGCTGTATGGGACGACTTCTAAATATGGTTTAGTCCTTTACAGATTTTTTTTATGTATATCATTATTAAATAAGTAAATCTATTATTATTGTTTGGCCTTTTTATTGTTTTTTTTGTTGTTTTTTTGTTTTACCTTTTTATTTTTTGTTTTAATTCTTTTTTACAGCATTTGTTACTAGTAACTGTAGTTGTATTGTTATTACTTGATAACTATTGGGGTATTATTGAACCATAAGTGATAAGATACTATATCTCTAATATATTTTATATTATCGTTATAATGGATAAAGTTAATGTATGTCAATAAACAACTAAATCATTGGTCATAGCAATAGCATTTTGTTACTGTTATTACGGTCATCCCCATCACCATATCATCATTATCATTATTACTGTTATCATTATTGTCGTTATCATAACTGATAGAAGCAAAAGTACTATCAATTGCGGTAGTATTTTTTCTATTTCCAGTAATTCTGTTAATACTGCAATAAACTGATATTTCGTCAATAGAGCACTCCCAAAATTAGAGCCAGTATTAGTACCGGCAATAACGCTAATAACTTTATTGTCAATATTGGCAATAACAGTAATACTTTGGGGCTGAAAGATAATGGTTTTCGAATAATTAACATACGCCTTGGAAGTAACTCTCTCTCTCTCTCTCTCTCGCTCTCGCTCTCTCTCTCTCTCTTTCTCTCTCTCTCTCTCTCTCTTTCTCTCTCTCTCTCTCTCTCTCTCTCTCTCTTTCTCTCTTTCTCTCTCATTATCTCTCTCTCTTTCTGTCTGTCTGTCTCTCTCTCTCCCCCCCCCCTCTGTCTCTCTCTCTCTCTCTCTCTCTCTCTCTCTCTCTCTCTCTCTCTCTCTCTCTCTTTCTCTCTCTCTCTCTCTCTCTCTCTCTCGCTCTCTCTCTCTCTCTCTCTCTCTCTCTCTTTGTCTGCCTGCCTTTCTTTGTCTCTATGACTTTCTTTATCTGTCTCTCTCTTTGTCTGTCTATGACATTGCTTCTGTCCCTGTCTAACTGTCTACCTGTTTGTCTGTCTGTCTGTCTGCCTGCCTGCTTGCCTGTCTACCTACCTACTTACCTACCTACCTACACGTCCATCTGTGTCTCTATTTGTTTCCCATTAAGCTAAATCATAACTATACCTAAAACCGTCACAGAACAACCTAAATAAAAAAAAAAAAAAAAAAAAATCTTTTACTTCCTCGTTAACACCAAAAAAATAAAACAAGGCACAGTATTTAACGAAAGAGCGAGAGACCGTAAAATGGGTTGAAGATTTTGCCGACTGAACCGAACTGAAGATTTTTTTTTTAACAGAGATGTATCCTTAATAACTGGAAAGGACGAGTCAGTTCGAAAAAAGTTCAATAGATGTCAATAAAGGGAAGAAAAGTTTGATGTGGAGTAAAAGGAAAAATCTTTTGCGGAATCTTGTGGTTAGGTTTGAAATGTATTTATGTGCGAGGTAGTTTATATAAGAAAAATATTGTCGAAAAAGAGCTATATATCATATAAACTAGTTGAAACCAACAAATCAATAAACAGAAACCGTTAAATAAACAAGTAGAAAACACAAAAATAAATAAGTAGAAACCACCAAGTTAAAAAACATCAAATAAACAAGTAGAGAACACCAAAAAATAAACAAGTAAAAAGCACTAAGTAAACAAATAAAAACTATCCAGCAGACAAGTAGAAACCACAAAACATAGAAAACGTCAAATAAACAAGTAGAAACCATCAAACAACCAATCAGAAACCATCAAATAACCATGCAGAAACCATCAAACAACCAAGCAGAAACTGTCAAACAACCAAGCAGAAACCATCAAACAACCAAGCAGAAACCATCAAACAACCAAGCAGAAACTGTCAAACAACCAAGCAGAAACCATCAAACAACCAAGCAGAAACCATCAAACAACCAAGCAGAAACCATCAAACAACCAAGCAGAAACCATCAAACAACCAAGCGGAAACCATCAAACAACCAAGCGGAAACCATCAAACGACCAAGCAGAAACCATCAAACAACCAAGCAGAAACCCTCAAACAACCAAGCAGAAACCATCAAACAACCAAGCAGAAACCATCAAACAACCAAGCAGAAACCATCAAACAACCAAGCAGAAACCCTCAAACAACCAAGCAGAAACCACCAAACAACCAAGCAGAAACCGTCAAACAACCAAGCAGAAACCGCCAAACAACCAAGCAGAAACTGTCAAACAACCAAGCAGAAACCATCAAACAACCAAGCAGAAACCATCAAACAACCAAGCAGAAACCCTCAAACAACCAAGCAGAAACCGCCAAACAACCAAGCAGAAACCGCCAAACAACCAAGCAGAAACCGTCAAACAACCAAGCAGAAACCCTCAAGCAACCAAGCAGAAACCCTCAAACAACCAAGCAGAAACCATCAAACAACCAAGCAGAAACCATCAAACAACCAAGCAGAAACCATCAAACAACCAAGCAGAAACCATCAAACAACCAAGCAGAAACCATCAAACAACCAAGCAGAAACCATCAAACAGACAAGTAGAAACCATCAAAATAACCATGTAGAAACCATCAAGTAAACAGAAAAAAAAACACCAAAACCACTAAACAAACCAATAGAAACCTAGAAATATAGAAACCAAGAATCTAGAAACCCACTGAACATCTGACATCGATAAACGGTGATCATCCCCTTGCGAACGAAGAGAGGGAATGGAAGAAAGAGCAGGAGAAAGGGGAGATAAGGAAGAAACCTGGAAGAGATAAGTGGATATTGGAGAAATTGCAGAAGACAGATTGATTGATACTATTTCGCGAATTACGATGTCATAGATGGGTAAGGAGGTTTAAAGATGTTAAATGGGAAAAAGATGGTCGAATATGTCAAGTGTAGCTTAATTTATTGGAAATCTATAACACTGCGTTCGACGTGTGCAGAAACACGTGAATGTCTGCAATGTACGATACTTTTTTTTTTTTTTTTTTTTTTTTTTTGGAAAGAAATATCTATGATACGCTCTTTGCACTTTTCTTTTTCATCTTCGCACTTTGCTTTTAATTAGATTTCAACTTTAATGATAAGTCTTAACAATTAAAAAAAAAAAAAAAAAAAAAAAAAGGAAGAATTCAGCGCATTACATAACAGCATATATTCGTAATCACTTGAATTTAAAATCGTTGACAGTCAACCGTTAAACCGTTGAGCTTATAGATACAGCATGGTTTTTAAAAATATCAATAATTAAACAAAATATAAATCAATAAAATAAAAAGGTCAAATGGCAGGTTGAAACACTACAGAGAAGACACTAGCTTTTTTTTAAATCTGTAGAGCATAGAAGTAGAACATCTCCGTAATAAAGAAGACGTGACTTTTAACATTTTGTTATTTGTTGAGAATTTTACACACGAGCTATTATCCGCTCTGCCTTTTTAACGATGCAAACAGGACAGGAAATCTATTTGTGAAAATCACCGTGAATGTATAAGGGAGGAAGAGAGTGAGCCAATGGTTAGGGATGAAATGAAGGGATAAAGTGAGAGAGAGAGAGAGAGAGAAAGAGAGAAAGAGAGAGAGAGAGAGATAATGTTAAAGAGAGAGAGAGAATGTTAAAGAGAGAGAGAATGTTAGAGAGAGGGAGAATGCTAAATAGAGTGAGAGTGACAACGTGGGTGATATAGAAAGAGAGATAGAGAACATAGAGACAGATAGTTACATAGATATGTATAGAAAGTGAGAGCCTTACATAAAGAAACGGTTGTGTGGGACGGAACCAACTAGCTGCACAAAACCAGGCATCACTCATGTCATGAAGAAATAGGGAAATACAAAGGTTGGCTTGGCGAGGACGAATATACAATACACCGTAGAGAGCAAAACAGAGGAGCTTTTCAAACACTTCCGTATTGGTTTGTGACTCTAGACGCTAACGACCCCCGTGCGTTTCTATCACCATAGATAGAATGCTTTCTCTTGCTATGGATCATCGTCGTGGTTATGAAACATATGAACTATAAGTTAACCGTTGGGGAAAATAATTCATTACTTAGGAACAACAACTTTTTTTTTTTTCTTTCTTTCTTTTTTTTTTATTATATATCTATCTTGTAACGTGTTTACTGCTAACCTCGAAAGTTTTTCCATCTCATTATCCTTATTCCTTGAACTCCATTTAACCAAACATTTCCAAAAATAAAAGAAAAAGAAAAAAATATATATATACATACAACCCCACTACCACAGTGAAAGAGAAAAAAAAAAGTATTGAGAACAATTTAAAAACTTTTTTTCTTTTTTCGTCAACAGTATTTCTTTCCATCCCCGTAGCCTGAGAATTTCCCTTCCGCCAAGGGTGCGTCCACGGCCTAGCGACTATTGCTAGGAATTTTTCACGATGTCCATTTTGCTAAATTTTTTTGCGAAGTATTGTCGTGTGATAGGGAGTTGAGTCATGCCACTTGGACCAAAGGGTCAATGAATTCTGAAGGGTTGCAAGTTGCTAGCAGTACAAAAATGGGCTTAAAAGTTTGGGGTGTAAATCAATTGTATGGAATACTGTTTGAGTATCTGGGTGTATATGGATTCTCTCTATCTCTCTTTCTCTTTCTCTTTCTCTCTCTCTCTCTCTCTCTCTCTCTCTCTCTCTCTCTCTCTCTCTCTCTCTCTCTCTCTCTTTCTCTCTCTCTCTCTCTCTCTCTCTCTCTCTCTCTCTCTCTTTCTC